AATCTTGGGTACTGACATAGAACATCAAACCTAAAATATCAGAGTTGGAAGGGACCTTAGAGGCAGTGGTGGGATTCAGCCAGTTCGCACCACTTCGGGAGAACCGGTTGTTAACTTTCTGAGCAGCTGGGTGAACTGATTGTTGGAAGAAATCATTAGAGCAGAGAACCGGTTGTTAAATTATTTGAATCCCACCACTGCTTAGAGGTCTTCTAGTCCAACCCTCTGCTCAAGCAGGAGACCCTATACTACTTCAGATAGGTGGCTGTCCAATCTCTTCTTTAAAGCCTGATAGATAGAGCACCTACAACTTCTGAAGGCAAAGCTGTTCCACTGGTTGATTGTTATCACTGTCAGGAAATTTCTCTTTAGTTCTAGATTGGATCTCTCTTTGATTAGCTTCCATTCGTTGTTTCTTGTCTTGATTTCTGGTGCTTTGGGGAATAGGTTGACCCCCCCCTTCTTTGTGGCAGCCCTTCAAATATTGAAACACTGCTATTCATGTCAGCCCTGGTGACATGAACAATATCAGTCAATTTTAGCACATTACAGTGCAAAATTTGTACATTAATGTAAGCAAATATCAATGCTATCATGCTGTGATCATGCTGATGGGATCATGCCGATCACTGAAAACTAGGATCTCTGATTTAGGAACTATCTTGCAAGCCAACACACTGTTGTCTGCATCCCACCAACTAGGAAGTATAGTGACCAGGATGTACTGTGCTCTAAAAGCACTCTTCTTTTTTAGCAGTCTTATACCATGGCCACAGGGACGTGGTGGCTCAGCCGCTAAGATGCTAAGCTTGTCGATCGAAAGGTTGGCAGTTCAGTGGTTTGAATCCCTAGTGCAGTGTAATGGGGTGATCTCCCATTACTTGTCCCAGCTTCTGCCAACCTAGCAGTTTGAAAGCAGATAAAAAATGCAAGTAGAAAAATAGGGACCACCTTTGGTGGGAAGGTAACAGCGTTCTGTGTGCCTTTGGCATTGAGTCATGCCGGCCACATGACCATGGAGACATCTTCAGACAGTGCTGGTTCTTTGCTTTGAAACAGAGATGAGCACCGCCCCCTAGAGTCAGGAACGACTAGCACGTATGTGCGAGGGGAACCTTTACCTTTACCTTACCATAGCCAGCTCCTGTTAAGATAATGCTCAGCTAAATTTCAAGGACTTTTCACAGACATCCTTATCTACCCAGTTAGGGTACATATTTATTTTTCTTATGTAAAAAAAACCTGGCACGTGTTTTTGGTTAGATTTCATTCTGTGGCTTTCAGCTCCGTTCTCTGAGCTATTAGAATTGTTTCGAATTTTGTTTTCTTTGATTAAACACTCCCTGCATGGTCTAGTTTTATAATGGCAGGAGGACTGCCATAGTTTACCTTAGGCCTGTGGAAGTGCCAGGAATCTGCAGAGTGTACAGATGTTTCTCCATTGCACCTGCCCTGTTGGAGAGCTGCCTTCGTAGGAGATTGTTCAAAATGACAGGCATCTTCTTAATAGGAGATTTGTCTTGGCAGAAGCGGGGGGGGGGGAGGTTTCTTGCAGCTGTTAACATCAGACCACATCTGTAGCTTTTGTTTTCCCTGGATTTCTGTACAGCATCGTCTGTTTTTGTCACAGAGTGGTGTGTCTCTGACAGAAGAGAGATGGAGAGAAAAAGAGGACATATTATTATTTTTATTTTTATTTATTTATTTGTCGAGTACGTATTAGATAATATATATAAGTATAAGCATGAATTGAATACATAAAATGAATACAATTAAAGGGAACATTAGGACAGGGACCGTAGGCACGCTGGTGCTCTTATGCACGCCCCTTACAGACCTCTTAGGAATGGGGTGAGGTCAACAGTAGCCAGTCTAAGGTTAAAATTTTGGGGGTTTTGGGATGAAACCACAGAGTCAGGTAGTGCATTCCAGGCATTGACCACTCTGTTGCTGAAGTCGTATTTTCTGCAATCGAGTTTGGAGCGGTTCACTTTAAGTTTGTATCTATTGCGTGCTCGTGTATTGTTGTGGTTGAAGCTGAAGTAGTCATTGACAGGTAGGACATTGTAGCAGATGATTTTATGAGCTACGCTTAGGTCATACCAAAGGCGGCATAGTTCTAAGTTTTCTAAGCCCAAAATATCAAGTCTGGTGGCATAAGGTATTTTGTTGCGAGCGGAGGAGTGGAGGACTCTTCATGTGAAATATTTCTGGACATGTTCAATTGTATTAATGTCCGATATGCAGTGAGGGTTCCAGAGCTCATTCAAAAGTAAATGCAATTACGACATTTCAAGAAGTGGTTTCCTACTATTGTCGCTTTTCCAAAACAATTGTTATTCCACCACCCATCACCCATTCCTGGAGTGTGTGTGAAAAAAAAGTGTGGGGGGGAGAGGAAACAAAAAAAGATTTTCCATTTTCAGCTAGGAAAAACGTGAGCTGCCATATTTCCTCTTTACAAATCCTGGATGGTGGTTTTTTTTTTTTTTGTTTGCAACAGTCATCACAATGCTTGAATAAAGACTTCTTTTGGAAAAGGGAAATGGTTGAATGAAAAATTAATTTAGATTAAAATGAAATGCGGCCTTTAGTTATATAAGTTAGCTGGTTGGTATGGCTTGGAAGAACAATGCTGAACTCTGGAATTTTACACCAATACAGCAGTGGTGGGTTCCTCCCAGTTCGGCCTGGTTCCGCCGAGCTGGTAGCGGCGACAATATGATGTCACCGAACCGGTTCTGCCCCCCGCACCCCCCGCACCCCCCACCCACCCTCAGCATTATTCTTACCTTTTATTTGGCTCCACCCCCAATCTATTGCTGCCTCCTGAGTCCCAGCTGATGGCTAGAGGGAAAAAAACTGTTTAAACTCTTGCCGCGGGGCTTCAAAGGGCTGCCCTACAGCTGATCAGTGTTAAAAGAAAACAAATGAGTAGACCGGTGCCTGCAAAAATAAATGGGTAGACCGGTACAGGTTTGCAAGCATTTAAAAGCCTGGTAGACCAGTACCTCTGCTAAATCCTAAATAATTGTCACATGACCATCAAGCCACGCCCACAAAATAAGCCACACCCACAGAACCGGTAGTAAAAAAATTTAGAACCCACCCCTGCAATACAGGTACGACCAAATTGAGCCTCAAATTTCTGTTGCTAAGTGAGATGTTTGTTAAATGAGTTTTGTCCCATTTTACGACCCCCCGCCCCCAATTTTTAAGTGAATCACTGAAGTTCTTAAATTAATAATATAGTTAAGTGAATCTGGCTTCCCCATTGACTTTATTTGTCGGAAGGTCGCAAAAGGCTGATCACACAACCCCTAGAATACTGCAATCATCATAAATATCACTCAGTTGCCAAGCATCTGAATTTTGATCGCATGATCTTGGGGATGCTGCAATGGTCATAAGTGTGAAAAAACGGACATAAGTCATTTTTGTCAGTGCCGTTGTAACTTCAAATGGTCACTAAATGAACTGTTGTAAGTCGAGGACTACTTGTAAAGGAAAACAATACTTCCAAAAGGTTGATGTTGCATTTTTAAAGACTGGTATATTTTCAATATTTACATTTTTATGAATCACAGGCCAACTTTGAACAACAAGCTTATACGCAGCCATACATAGAAGGAAGGAAAAACTTAAGGAATCTCAAGGATAAGAAGGAAATGAAAAGCAGACCTTATAACACACAACCACACTCACACACACTCACACACACACCATACACACACATACACCCAAAAAAGCCCACCTTTTTACCAATGTTTTCTGTAACCAAATTTTAGTCACATCGTCATTTACTGTAGACCAGGGATTGGCAATCTTAAACACTCAAAGAGCCACAATGGTCCTAACTGGAAGCCCCCCGTTCAATTCTAGAGCCAATCGGAAGTCTGGTTCCCCCACCATTGAGTGTCCTCCGAGCGTGGCATCCTTTTTCCTCTGCCAACCAGAAGTTTGCTTCCCCCCCACCCCCATAGAGTCTCCTCCTAGCGTGGTGTCCTTTTTCCTCTGCTGACCGGAAGTCCAGTTCCCCCACCATAGAGTCTCCTCCTAGTGTGGCATCATTTTTCCTCTACCTGTCCTAACTGAAAGCCCTATCAATTGTGGAGCCGATCGGCGACAGGGAGCCGCAGCAGAGGGATGAAAGAGCCACATGCGGCTCCAGAGCCACAGGTTGCTGACCCCTGCTGTAGACAATGATAAAATAGGAAACCACTGCAGTTAGTCAGTTTGTATTTTATCAAATGTATTGCTGATTTTTTTCTTTTGCTCTAGCGCAGACCTGGGCATTTTATGACTCCTGGGCCACATTCAGCCCTTTGACTGTCCCTGTCTTGTCCATGTGAATTACTTTTATTTTGAAGGCAGATGCTATTTTTTTTTCCAATTTACATATGTGCATTCATGCAGGCCTCTGCAACTTCACAGCCCTATTGGTTTGGCCCTCCACAACAGTCCCAGCTTCTCATGTGACCCCCTTGGGAAAAGTAATTGCCCACCCCTGTTCTAGCCCCAATAAGAGGACAACACTCATTGTACTTGCAATGACACAACCCAATTTTCTGAGGATAAAGTTGATGATCACTAAGGTGATAATACCAGCAATGCAGAGGTGCTATTCAGCAGGTTCTGACAGGTTCTGGAGAACCGGTAGCGAAAATTTTGAGTAGTTCAGAGAACCGGCAAATACCACCTCTGGCTGGCCCCAGAGTGGGGTGGGAATGGAGATTTTGCAATATCCTTCCTCCAGGAGCGGGGTGGGAATGGAGATTTTGCAGTATCCTTCCTCTGCCATGCCCACAAAGCGACGCCCATAGTAAAAAAAATTGAATTCCACCACTGCAGCAATGGCTTATATGGGTGAATACAGAGAACACACATTTTTGTCATTTCAGTCTAGGAAGATTAAACATTTTAGTGGAAATTATTATTTTTTTTAAATACACGAAGCTAGAGGATTTAAATCCATTTTTTTCTTGTCTCTCCTTTTGCAGGTACAAAGGTTTCAAAGGCAATTGCTCCATCTCTTTTATCGATCAGTTTAAGGTTCTTCACCTGTGCAACAAATACTGTGAGATGTTAGGACTGAAACCCCTTCAAAGCAGTGGTCTGAAACAGAAGAAGTCTGCGGTCGCCAGAATCAAGGCGCCATCCAATCCAACTGTTGCAAAGAAAAGATTGGTCAATGCGCAGACTTCCAAAAAAACATAAGATTGTCGTTTTTTTTCCCCAAGGAAATATTGATGACTTCGATCTTTGCCGCAGGACATCTTTGGAAATGTATATTGATTTTGTTTTGTTATTTTTCTGCCATTTGCCAACGATGGTCCTTCTTCCAAGCAACCTTGGCAGCATGTGGATGGATGGCATAAATAGCCCAGAGAAGATTTACACCGCATCTCTTGGTAAAAATTGAATTTAATGGATTCCTTCCATGTAAGCCAGCTGCTACAAAACCAGAGACATACATGTAGGGTGTTTTCAAAACACTTGTGATAAACATATTCCACGTTTTTCTTCTTGTAGTTTTGCTGTATCTTCAGGTCCTGCTTTTTCTAGGTCTTTCTAAATGCTTGCCTCACCGAGTCACATAAATAGATTGGCAGAAACGTTACGTAGAAGAGGAATATAACTCTGGAGTTCATATGCATTTTGTTTTATTTTGCACTACTTGGAATTGAGAGCTGTGTCAAATATGTAATACTTGTATTTATAGAACCCAAGAGTAGTAACCTTCAGGTGATCTGAGAGCTGCATGGAACTCATGACTACGATCATGTTATTTTATAGAGTCCTAGAGTTGGCAGTGACCTCAGATGGCAGCTAGTGTAACCCTCTGCTGAGTTCAGGATCTGTCATTTGTAACCTCATATCCCTAACTCCCCCGGATACAAGTCCTGGCGCCTGCAGATACTGCCACTAGCTTTAATGTAGCATAGTAAGACTTAGTAGGTCCAGACACTTCCTGTCTCATTGCTGGCAAGTATGTAAATGAAGAAAAGAGAAAAAGAAGAACAGCTGTAGAAACAGCTGCACAGCAGAAGGTATATTTGCAGTAACTATACTGTAAATCTCATTAGATCTGTCTATGGAGATTCTCAATCATCCAGGTCATGGTTGTCCCAGGGGTTTGTTTTTCCAAAAGACAACTGGACTTTCTTGATGTTTTGTTTGAAATCTTGGAACTTCAGTTCTCTGAACTGAAGAAGCTTCTTGGATGAGAAGTGAAATCTTTTCAAGCAAAACACGAAGAAAATTCAATTGCCTTTTGGTGGAAAAAACACCTTTGGGATCCCATTCTATCCAACAGAAGTTTCGTTCAATCTGATATCCTGTTTTGTGCCATAAACAAGAAACGTCTAAGATGTTGACAACCAATATATGAAATCAACATCCTCCTTGCCTTGCTAGACATGCTGTAAAACATGGAGTTTCCATCAATATATTTCAGGATGGAAAGGAGAGTCCCAGTTCAAAGCAAATTATGTATCATAAAATGAGGACCCAGATTGTTGGGGGCAATATGCTATTTAGTATACTGTCTTTGGTATAAGCCGGCCAGAGTCCTCGGAGAGTGGGTGGCATAGAAATATGACTAATAAATAAATAAATAATAAATATAGTGTAGAAATCTAGCATTATTTTGACTTTTCACAGATCTCAAAAGAGATTAAATTGATTTCACATCTGTTAAATATATCTTCGATCTTAACCATCTCTGTTTTTCTTGTTTCTTAATGGTTTGCACAGTAAAACTTGTTACTGTTATGCTTATGTTCCCTATTAAATTCTTTCCTCCAATTAATTAGGATTTCACTTTATATGAGGCAAGACTGTACCAATATTTTCTGTTTCTTCTGCATACATTAATGGCCTTTGATAATAAATTCATTATTAAATCCAGACAGTCATTTTGATATTTAAAGCAGTTGCTTCTGATAAAAGAAATATTAACCACGATTCAGTCATCATATTGATTAGTTTCAGGAAAGTTTTAAGTGTAGACATAGTAAAATATTTAATTTATGAATGTAGGGTAATAAACCTATCTCGACTTATTATCAACTGTAGGAGTAGCTACAGCTATAGCAATTATTATTAGACTGTACTAAATCAGCTATTCAGCAGTATAAAGATGTACAGAGAAAAAGATATCAGTGGAAAGCTATTTTAATGTCTGTATGTCACTATTTTGCAGGTTTAAAATGATAGTTATTTCAACATTAAACAAGTATGTGTGCAGGACAAAACAGATGAGTTCAAACTAATTGTTGAATATAATGGTGTTCTAAAAGCAACATTGATTTATTTGATCTGTGCAATTATAAAGCACACGCTAAAAGATATCTGAAGCACCTTTTAATTTTCTATTAGATGGCTGATTGGTTTTTGTAGATGCTCATGTACTTTTCAATTAACGAGAGGTGAATAACGGACACTTGCATGCTTTGATGAACACAAAATGGTTGATATGAGAGGGTTAGAAAAATACCTCTTCTCCTTCATTGTACAATGGCTCCATGTTTCTCAGCCTCAATGACTTTAAAATGTGTGATTTCCTGTGGGTTAAGGAATTCTGGGAGTTGAACTCCCCATATCTTAACATTGCTGAAAGGCACCACAATGTCTCAGAGCATCTGTAGATGGAAATCAAAAAAATTAAAATGGCATCCATGGCTGGGTAATTACAGCCCCTTCCCCTTTTTATAGGGATGTGGTGGCTCAGTGGCTAAGACTCTGAGCTTGTCGATCAAAAGGTCGGCAGTTCAGTGGTTCGAATCCCTAGAGCCGCGTAACAGAGTGAGCTCCCATTACTTGTCCCAGCTTCTGCCAACCTAGCAGTTCAAAAGCACCTAAAAAATGCAAGTAGAAAAATAGGGACCACCTTTGGTGGGAAGGTAACAGCGTTCCATGGGCCTTTGGTGTTGTCATGCCAGCCACATGACCATGGAGACGTCTTCAGACAGCGCTGGCACTTCAGCTTTGAAACGGAGATAAGCACCGCTCCCTAGAGTCGGGAACAACTAGCACATATGTGTGAGGGGAACCTTTACCTTTACCTTTACCTTTTTTATATGCATCACAGATAAAAAAGGGGCAGGGCTTCAACTGGAGAGATTTAGCTGCCATCTTGATTTTTTTGGTTCCCTCCCCAGCAGTGACCTAACAAAATTCCCTTCTGTTTCTAAACCTGAACAAATACTGTATGACCAGCAATCGGATTGGAATAGTTTTAGAAATGTGCACTGCATTTACTAAGTTATATATTTAATTACCTATTTATTTTTCTATTGTTAAGAAAAAAATATTTAAATGTTGATAATATCACTATACAATTATAAAAAGTATATGTATGTAAGACTAGATTATATTAATATATGACACATGTTTGTTTTTGTGGGCCTTTTCTTTTTGCATATCTAAGTAAGTCACAATATATAAAGAGTCTGAGGATAGTAATTATGAGTAATTTAAAAGATGCAAGTAAATAATTAGCTAGTTGGGACGTTTAAATATACTCTATATTTTTTGAATGCTGTGATGCAATGGGCAGTCTTAAAAATGTACAAATTGCATGTATTAAAAACCAAGGTGCTCAAAATGCATCACATGAGGGTACTTCAGTTGCAAAATCTTATATTAAGAGGCATGATTTCTTCTTATATTCATAGAAAAATGTGAAAATAAGAAGAAATCATTCATCAAAGCAATTGAAGCACAGATCCTAGTAATGATTGAGTAAAAATGTGCCTGCAGTAAAATGATTCAGTTAAAATAGGTACTGTCTGTCAATTGTATTTTATGGAGAAATTCACAATACTGGTGAAGAAATTGTTTCTGGATCTACAATAATTCCTGACTGCATCTGATGCAATTTGCAGAGTACCTAAACAGACAGATTTCTAATCCAAATCACTCTAAGCAATTCAAACTCTTTTCAAAAATTGGAATGGTGATACTTTGAATATTGTTCACTATATAATTTCCAATAATGATTAATCTTAAACCATGTATTTAAAACGTTGCTCCATTTGATGAATGATTGAGGTATATGAACCAGACACATCCTCCATAATTGCTATCCACACTAAGAAAGAGTTCTCCACAGTATCTAAAATATCCCTTAAATTATAGTGATTTTCTCAAGGCGAGCTTGACTCCTGATACTTACATGTCTGTATCCTTGTACTCTTCTTGTTAACATATAAAAGTTATTAAATATTCCCCTTCTTGATGTATTTTGATTTTGGTTTTGGTTTTGTAATCTACACTACCATCCTGAGATTTCCAGATTGTGTCTCATTGGTGCGACTCTGTATTGCTGCGTTTCAAAAATATTCAGAGTTCGACTCAGTGCTGATATCTCTTCCCTACCAATTAACTAAATGACATTCACTACATTCACTGTTATTTACACAAAAATGCATTCAGTCTTCTATGTCTCACGTATACCAAGAGTTCCCAACTTTTGTGAGATGGCACACTGGAAGCCGGAGAATGTGGACATGACCGTCTTACAAAGCCGTTGCCATGTTTCTGATTGTATCTATTCACAAAACGTGAAGTTACCACCCCAATCCCAAAATACCATCTTAGTTTTGTCTTTTTTTCTTGGAAAGTTGGGCACAATTCCAAATAAAGTATTAGGCTGACATATATGTCTTTCCCTTAGATGACATCTACAATTGATTCTTAGCCATTTTCAGTTTATTTTCGGTGAAAAATAATCCCATAGGCACTTTTTGAAGCTAAAGATGATCCTTGAGGATAACTGTCAGCCTTACCAGGTAGACTGTCACGGTTCCGACAGATGCCCTAATTAAATCATGAGTCTTGAGCCAAGCTTCAAAAGAAACCCAGTCATTTATTAGGAGTTTCATGTCGGCACATTCCCAAATGAAGCCAGCTCTGACCCTACGTAATTTACGCTCCAATTATGATCCTTTTTCCCCCTTCCCCCCCCAGGGTGTGTCATCAATCACATTTGCCAATGGAACAATTTCACAGGTTGTAGAGGTCACTCTCCTTTGACTACTGTAGGTATCCCTGGGATATAGCCTTGAGGGAGATAAGCATAGAATGTGCATCTGTTTTTGGCTGCTGTGCAGTTTCGCCAGTTTCCCATCCCCTCTGGCCTATGGCAACTCGAGAGCAGGCCAGGGATGCTTTGCGAGTTGACATAGACCAGACATGAAACAACATCAGATGGCCTAATTTTTATTTTAATGGAAAGCCATATTAACAGAATCTTATAAGTCTGAAAATGCAATTCTACCATCTCCTTTACAGCTCAAGAAACTAGGGAGAACTTCTTCTCAGTCTTTTGCCTTATCCACTATCCAGCTATGGGTGACATTGTCTCTTATCTGATTGTTCCCTAGACACCATCTCTTCATCCTGTCTCCCAAGGTCTTTCCCGCATACATTATAATAACACTTTGTTTTGAAGGACAGTAACTTTCCATTTATGGCTTTTTCATTAAAATTGTTTTTTTAATTAAAAGAACCCACAGCAAGTAGCAATATCGGGTTGATCTTGTTTGAGCTGGAACCTAACAGGTCAGGCCTGGATGATAACTGGGCTGTAGACTAGATCAAGAAAATCCTGGAAGAGGACAGTGACTAACTATTTCTGAATTGTTGCCAAAGAAAGTAACAGATATGTCCAGTGAGCTGCCAAGAATTGAGCATGACTCAAAGGAACCAACTTAATTAGAATTTCCTAAAGGTAAAGGTAAAGGTTCCCCTCGCACATGTGTGCTAGTCATTCCTGACTCTAGGGGGCGGTGCTCATCTCCGTTTCAAAGCTGAAGAGCTAGCGCTGTCCAAAGACGTCTCCGTGGTCATGTGGCCGGCACGACAACACCAAAGGCGCATGGAATGCTGTTACCTTCCCACAAAGGTGGTCCCTATTTTTCTACTTGCATTTTTTACCTGCTTTCTAACTGCTAGGTTGGTAGAAGCTGGGACAAGTAATGGGAGCTCACCCCGTGACGCGTCACTAGGGATTCGAACCGCTGAACTGCCAACCTTTCGATCGACAAGCTCAACGTCTTAGCCACTGAGCCACCACGTCCCTAAAAACCTCCTAGAGCATGGAAAATAATACTGGGCATGGTAGCACCTGTAAACACCATGTTGAGGATCCAGCCCTCGCAGTGTTAACTACCTGAATTTATTGGGATCCTTTGTTGATACCAAAAACGAAGGAAAGTTTCCTTTGGAAAAAGATTCTTTGCAGAACATGGGCTGTCGCTACATTTGATTCATTAATCAACTGTTTTAACAAGTGTCATTATCAACAAGTGCTGCAATCAGTTGCCATGACGATTGGCAGCATTGCATCCATTATTTAAATGGAATAATAATGAAAAAAACTGTGCAGGAGCTCATCAGTCTCATAAAAACACCATGACATATCAGAAAGAGACGAGATGTTTTTTTAAAAAAATGACTGCGGTTTGAGACTCTTTTGTGGTCTTCTTGCTGCTTTGAAAAGTATCTGGGAAAATCTGCCCTTTATGTATCATACCAAAACGTTTCTTGTAGGTCAATCCTTTGGATGTTTACTGAGAATTAAGGATAATTATAACTGCAATCTTACTGCTATAGGAAAAGTCATCTATAGCATTTAAATATAACATTCACATAATTTCACACAAATTGGTGCTATGCATGGATCAACACATCTATTTTTATGAAAGTTGACCTCCAGCAAATGGAGAGCAATATGGCTGTTCTAGGACCAGAAAGGGTTGGCCATAGAAAGTCACATCCTCATCACTACTCTGCTGGACTACAGGTAGTCCTCAACTTACAAAAGTTCATTTAGTGACTGAACTTACAACGGCAATGAAAAAAGGGACGTATGACTGTTTTTCGTACTTGCGACCATTGTAGCATCCTTATGGTCGCATGATCAAAATTCAGGTGCTTGGCAACTGATTCATATATATGACAGTTGCAGTGTCCCAGGGTCATGTGGTCCTCTTTTGTGACTTGCTGACAAATGATGGGGAAGCCAGATTCCCTTAACCACCGTGTTACTAATCTAACAACTGCAGTGATGCACTTAAGAACTTTGCCAAGAAAGGTTGTAAAATGCCTCTTAACAAATGTCTCACTTAGCAATAGAAATTTTGGGCTCAGTTGTGGTTGTAAGTCGAGGACAACCTGTACTGAAATATGTAAAGTAACTCAGAAGGAACAACTGGTTCAGAATGCAACAGTAAAATGGTTGATAGGTGGATCCCATCCCTGCAGAAAAACACCTGTTCTTGATCATCACATTGGACTTCCAGGCCCTATTCCGAGTGCTGTTTATTACCTCTAAAGCTTTACATAGTACAGTGCCAGGTTACCTTAGAGATGTCCTTTTCCAAGATGAGAGAGCTGATCTTACAAGGTCATCAAGAGAGGTCATCATCCCTGTGTGAATGCAAGAGGGACATGGGACCGAATATGAGTCACCTCATTTGTGGTTCTAACTCTGTGGAAGATGGCGTCCCTGAAGATACGTTTGATCACTCACCCTCCCAGCCATTAACCATTTTTAGAAACGAAAACTACGCTTTAGGAGAACTGTGCTTTATTATGACTTCTGCTTGTTTTTATTGATGTCCTTGTTCATACTGTAAGTTTGAGATTTGAGTTTTAGTACATGGCTCAGAGTTTTGATACTGAGAGTTACGGAAACACTAATAGAATACTTACCCTGTTTCCCCGAAAATAAGACATCCCCTGATAATAAGCCCAATTGGGTTTTTGAGCGCGTGCACTAAAATAAGCCTTCCCCCAAAAATAAGCCCTCCCCGAAAATATTTAAATGCAGAGCTAGAAATCAGGTAAGATGGCAAGAGGAGCCCCATATTGCTCCACATGCCCCAAAATAATAAGACCTCCCTGAAAATAAGGCCAAGCGCTTATTCCAGGGTTCAAAAAAAATATAAGACAGGGCCTTATTTTCGGAGAAACAAGGGGTATAAATACATAAAGGTATAGGTAAGTAGGTAGATAGGTAGGTAGGTAGGTAGGTAGGAAGGAAGGAAGGAAGGAAGGAAGGAAGGAAGGAAGGAAGGAAGGAAGGAAGAATTTATGACTAATTGCTGAATTGTGCTTATTACCAATCCCAAAATTTATAGTAGATCTGAACTTCTGATGGCTCAGAGTTTTGATACTGAGTTACACTGATGAACACTGATGAACACATCAAATGAACACTGATGGAGTATTTATAAATACATAAAGGTAGGAAGGAAAGAAGGAAGGAAGGAAGGAAGGAAGGAAGGATTTATGACTAGTTGCTGAATTGTACTTATTACCAATCCCAAAATTTACAGTAGATCTGAACTTCTGAGGGTTGCAGTCAAGTGACTCACTTGAATGGACTTCATTTACAACCATTTGCAGCATTCCATGGTGACATGACCACATTTTATTAAACTTTTGCAGAAAATTGGTAGTTGCTTCTGGTTTTCGGTGCAAAATTGTACCCATAGCAAACCATGGGTTCACTTAACGACCACTGAAAAAAAAACTGATTGTAAAATCAGGCACATATCTGATCAGTTTTATGATCGTTACAATTATATAACTGAAATGGACAGACTCCATTATGGATGTAACTCAAGGACTACTTTTACATTCATAAATAAATGTTGCCTAAAATCAGATCTACTTTAAAAAAGATCAGCTAAATTCAGTTAGACAGCCTTGGCTCCAGACTGCAGATGTGAGATTTTCTCAGGAACGTTTAGTGAAACATTTTTCTGAAGGGGCCATTATTATGCTTCAGCAAAGGAACAGTTGGCTAACGCTTTCTCAAATTCTGAGGAGACTAATCTTAATGGAGAGTTTTTCAGCATGTTGGATGGGAACTGGGAGAGTTGAAGTCCACACATCTTAACACTGCCAAGTTTGAGAAACACTGTCCTAATGTGCATGTGTGTATATGTAAAGAATAATCCATTAAATAATAATAAAGAAAAATGGTAGAATCAGTAAGTTCTTGATCCATGAACTGGAGAGTTAAATTTAAATCAACTTGGCACCAAACAGTCCTGCAAAAAAAAATTCATTCATTCTTTCTTTCTTTCTTCTTTCTTTCTTTCTTTCTTTCTTTTTTCTTTCTTTCTTTCTTTCTTTCTTTCTTTCTTTCCTTCCTTCCTTCCTTCCTTCCTTCCTTCCTCCTTCCTTCCTTCCTTCTTTCCTCCCTCCCTCCCTCCCTTCCTTTTCTG